GAATAAGGGGAAAGAACATAAACCAAGAAATCGTTTTAAAAAAGAAATAGAAGCAGGCAGGCAATACGCATGAAAAATTGTTCACTCTCTCTATAATCTAATAAATGAAAATTAAAACAAGGAAATCCTATTTTTTCCAATTAAAAATTTTAATACCCAATAATGGTAAGAAGACTGTATGTGAATAGAGATAAAACTTTTTTACAATGTATATCAAAAGCCTTAATTTTTTTAATCCCTTTCATTTAGTGATTTTACTTTTAGAAATTATAAAATAAACAAAGATGCATATGAAAAATTATTCAGAGATGGTCTTTGAAGCATTGTATAAAATAGTGACAAGTTAGAAGCAATCTATGCATCCAAAAGTAGTAATATTTCAATTGTATGTTGGAATACAAAGCAAGATTGTGTATCATATTTTTGGAGACCAATTGACATGTAGGAAATGCTTGTGATATGTTAAGTATAAAACAAAAAAAGTCAAAATTACCAATGAGTGTAAATAATATAAATGCAAAGAAAAAAATTATTGTGAGGATATGGTATATGAAAACATTTCAGTGGCTATTTCTGAGAATGGGATTACAAGTGATTTTTCCCATTGTTATTTTCTGAACACTTTTATGCAGCTTTCAAATTTTTTCAGTGAACATGGTTTATGTCTGTCATTGGAAAAAAAAATTTAAATGAACATTTATTCAATAGGAAAAGATTTTAAAGAATGCTACTTTTTCACTGATTTCTAGACGTGCCCTTCATGCGATTCTTACGAGAAAAAACCACCCAAAGAATTCCTAGAAAGACTGAAATCACTCATCCAAAAGGTATCTCACTTACATTACCTTTGGTTTCCGACCTCATCTTGATCTCGATTGCATCCTGTGTTAGGTTGCTCATGGTGTGCTGTTTCCGCAGATGATCCATCAGCATCTCTTCTAGAGCTCTCAGAGCCCGAAGGTTCCCGAGGACCTCGCTTGAAGCCGGACACTAGACCACACTCTAACACAGCAGTGAGACCCACACCTGGGTATTCTGAGTGGGGGATACAGTACATTAGCAATGGGGGAAACTCAGATAAGTGTTCAAAGTCAGGATGACTTCCCCCCCGAATCACGATGCGATACTTCGGTCTAATCCACTTGCTGTGGTTGGTCAACTTGAAAAAACTTTCTACTGAATCAGTCTGATTTCCTATGTTATGGACTTCCATGACTTCTAAAGTTGTTACTTAATTTCACTGCCCAACTAGGACATTTCCTGGTTGAGGGAGAGCTTAAAATTTTTAACCAAAAATACAGTTTGGGAATTTACTGATCTTATATTAGCCTTGATTTTCATGACCACAAGAATGAGGTCTCTAATAATCATAACTTCAAAAAGTTATACATCTTCATTCATGCTGGAAAATATAGAAGCACAGGGTCAAAATGGAAAGTTGAATGTCTTTATTCTTTTAAGGAAAATGAAAACTGAGTGTTTAAAAAATGTATATCTGAAGAGTTTACTTTTTATCTCAGAATGTCTAACATATAAGTATATAATTTATTTATGTACCGGGGGATAGCTTTATGAGATGGCTACAAAAAAAGTCTTACTTCTTTATTGGAATTTGTCAAATATTTAAATACTATAGATATGAATGTATTTATGGAATAGACTCTTTCAGTCTTGTTTTTTCTTTAAGTGGGTTTATTAGTGCCTCCCCAACTCAAGCCCCTGATAAGCTAATACTTGATGCTTGTGGAAATGGCAGTCACAGTCTATGCAGGGTCATCAGGTGTGTTCTTGAACCAAACAGTGTTTAACAAGGCTTGCAGCTCTCTTCTCAAATCATTATGACAACTGTGTGAGAGTGAGCTGATAGCTCCAAATGCCTGCTTCCGTCTTTCTTCCTTTCTTTTCTTTTTTTTTTTTTTTAAAATGACACACGATTTGTGTTTGCATGCTTGGCATAAGACAAAAGCAGTCACCTAAAGAAATAAAAATCAGGAGACAAATCAAGAGGCCAGGTCTCCTGACCTAACAGAAAAGAGGCTTTTGCATCTCCATGGTGATCTTCCAACCATGGGCAGGAAAAACAGACAACCCACTCTGCCATTTCACATCAACTCCAGCCGTTTCTTTAAACATGAAGTAAAAAACGCTAGAAAACATTTTCACTAGGATATTATAAGCTATTGGAAAGTCTCTTATTGTTAAATGGCTGCAAGGGTGCAACCAAATGTTGTATGGGAAATGCTTTGAGCTCTGAGAAGTAAAATTATCCATTTAAAAGCATTTTAACAATAAGTACAGACTAATTTATAGTTCCAAAAGGAGTATGAGGACTCAACTATGTCATCAAATCTCAATGAAATGTTTTCTTATCAGAAACAAGGTATTCTGTTTGACATTTTAAATGTTATCACAGAGGAATGATGTAAATATGTGCATAATGATGGCGTGGTGCGTGTAGAACCTGCCTGAGTGTCCCGCGGTGCCCGGCCAGGTCAGGGCGTGAAAGGGGAAAGCAGGCACCACGTGGGCTGGGGAAAGATGGAGTCTTTATTTTTTGTTTCCGGCTTTCTGGCTGTTGACTTCTTTGACACTGTGATTTTTATATTTAAAGTAATATATTTATTTTGGTGTGTTTACTGTTAAAAATCTCTGTTCTAATCCTTTGACCAGAGATTGTACCTTAAACGTAAAGATAACTCAGTGGGGTGTTGGCTAGGAGCCTTCGCGAAGCCAAGGTTAGACTCCGGCGAAGGGTCTGGCAGCCTCCAGTATCCCGAGAGAAGCGAGAGAGGCAACGCGAGGCCTGAACAGCTCCACCTGCGCTGCGGTATTCCCCACGCAGCCAGCCCCCCCCCCGGAGCAATGCAAGGCCAAGCAAGAAACTCTGCTGTTCGCCCACGGACGGTGACACAGGGGACCTGAAATCTTGCTGGCTCTGTCACTTGCTTCAGTTTGGGGGGTTTCCAGTTCCTTCTCTGTAGAATGAGGGTGTTGAAAGTCTGGGCTGCCTTTTTTTAGAGCTGCATGTGTCTATGAGTCGCTCAGGTTCTGGGGACTCTTACAGGAATGTCTGACCATACTTCTGAGTAAAGCTCCCTACTGAATCTGATGTTTAGTTGCTCAACATTATTTCAAAAGCGTTTGTAGCAACACTCACTCTAGGAATGAAGGAAATGTTCAAAAAAAAAAGAGGAAGAAAGAAGGAAAAGGGAGAAAGGAAGAAAGAAAAACGCGGCTGTAGCTCATGGAGTTCAGGGAAACAAGTCATGATTTCTACTGTTTTAGCTGAAAGTGTCTTCTTTGGGCACTTGTATAAAATTGTAGCATTATTATTCTATATGACTGCTCTGTTGTATTTACATTTGCATCTGAGAATTTAGTTTTAATATGAAATATGTACTTTATAACTTAATGATTATTTATTATATATTTGGTTTTAAATGTTCATGTTTGTAGCTTCTTATTTAAGACCTGATCATATTAAATATTACCCAGTCAGTACAACTGTCTTTTGTGATTCCCTGGAAACCTAAATTCAATATTCTTAGCAGGAAATAAAAGATGGTCCTTAGTTTCTGGGAGCATGGAGTTTTCACGTGTACATGGTAGAGACAATCTCCTCTCATTACATACTTTCACTGAACCGGAACGACCGCTTCCTGTCCTGCCTCTAGGATGCCATGACCTTGGCGGCCCTCACACACGTATGGCAGGCCCAGGAGGCGCTGAAGACATCCTCCCCAGCACCTGCCACCTGTGCGCGCCTGTGCACACCTCTCCGTTCTCTGAGGTTTATCCCGTCTAGCTTCTTATTGGTGGCTGTCATCTCCTGGACACTCCTCCACATGCACGGAGGACTCAGGGACATCCTCTCCTCGGCTCCAACTTCTACAGCTGTGCTGGGTGACGTCAGGGCCCCACTCAGTGCCCACGAGGGCTGCACCCACACGGCAGCTTCCCAGGACCCTGACTGCCTCAGTCACAAACACTGCACCTTTCACTCCGTCCTTGGCCCACTCCCATGGCAAGGAGCCAGACTTTGTCACCTGGCACATTCTCTGTCTGAAATCGTGACGTTTATAGAGCCATCACCAGGTGGTCTCTCAGGTCTCAGACTGCCCCACCTCTATTCTACCGGTCCAGAGACCTCGTCACAGCAGCCAGCAGCCCTTGGGCCCTCCCCATTCTCTCAGTTCCTATTAGTTCCTGTCCCTCCACTGAACCTGGGCCCCTGATCAATCCCTTAACCGCAGACCCAGCAGCCACACAATCTCACTCATCTTGAGAGCCTGCCTATGAATTCCCCTCTGTGTTCTGTGTTGGTCCCCGATCCAGCTTCAGACACTGGGTCTGGCCCCTTACCTTTGGGGACTCTTTCCAACTCCTTTGTCTGGCTTACTGGAGCCACTCTCAGCTCTAAACACTCACCTGCTTTCAATTTCTGCCTCCACCTACTCCAGTCCACAGATAGTCACCTCATCTCTCATGGAGGAGAGATTTGGGTTTTCACAGTCAAGCTCGGTGAAAGACTGCGAGTGGTCTATACCTGCGTGTAGGCTCCCTCACCTCCTATCCACTTAGCAAGCCACTGTAACCTAATTTCTACCCAACCCACATCCTACCACTGCATCATTAAAGCTGCCCTTTCTCTGGTCAATAATGACCTCCCTCCAAATGACCCAACTCCCGGAAGTGTCCAAGTCCTTATCTTGGTCATGTCATGGCTTTTGCCACCTTTGAGCACTCGCTCTCTCTTCATGTGTCCTCCTGATTCTCGTCCTGCTCTCTGACCACATGTGCCCAGTGTCAGCTGTCGGGTTGCTTTCCTGTGTCCCCTCCCTTGGAAGTGACTGTTCCTAAGGATTCTGTCCTTGGCCTCCCTTTCACTCTAAACCTTTCCCCTCAGCAGTTCAGTGAGTTCCTGTTTTAAATACCCTTCTATATGTCGGTGAATCGCAAATCAATAAAGGCTGGACCTCTCTGCTAATTCCCAGGCCCAATAACCAATTTCTCCTTGGAGATTTCCATTATTATTCCCCAGGTCCTTCATTGCGACATGTCAACATGGACCTCGTCCCCTCTCCCTCCACCACACACAGGCACTTCCACGACCTTCTCCGTTTTCCATTGTTCCCTAACCCTAACCAATGGCAACACATCCCCCAGCCTCCCAGACGCCGCCTTCTCTTTCACACACTTCTACAAACCGTCACTGGGTCTTGTGATTTCTCTCTCTTAAACCCATCCTTTCTCTTCTCTTCCCTCTGCCATCGCCTTCACGCAGGCTTTCGGCAATGGTCGCAATAACTTTGGATTGGATTTCTAGCCTCTTGCCTTCTCCTGTTTCCAGTCTATCTCCGAGTGGCCACCAGAGTGATATTTTATAAAACCTAAGTCCGATCACAATTTCCCCCTATTGAAACCCTTCACTCCCCCTTGGAACAAAGCCTAGGCTCAAAGCAGGGCATGCAAACCCCTTTATCATCTGTCCCGCTCAGCTCTCAGCCTGTCTTCACCTTGAATTTCACATCTGAGCTAATCCAATCTACTTCCAGTTCCCTAGACACACCGTGTGGTTTCACACCTCTGGGCCTTTGCCTTTGTGCTTGCAGGGACCTCTCCCTGGAATAGCACTCCTCCACCCACTCCATCATGCCAGGAAAACTCTGCTGCATCTGTCAACATTTAACTTAGTCATCACTTCTAGAAGGATTTCCATCACCATTTTTCTCAATGTGACACGGTTAATCTCCCCACTTTCAAAACTTAAGCGTACTTTATTAGACTGAATGCTTTGTATACAAATGTATTGATGTATGCGTGTTTCCCTTTCTAAAAGGCAAGCCCCTTGGCAGAAGGGACTGCCTCTTGCTAGCACAGCGCCTCGTATATAGTAGATAACAACAGTAGAGAACAAGTGTTACACAATTGCATTGAACTAAACACACAATATACGATCATGCATTGCAATTTTCCTTGACATCTCGCTTTCTATTACATGTTGAATCCAATTATCGCCAAAGCCAGGGATAATTGCCGACTGCTTTAAAAATAACCCTAGACTCCAACTACCTGTCACCATCTCCTGCTTCCGCTTGGGGGCCACCAGTCTTTCACTCAGATGATCGTGACACCTTCCTAAATAGTCTTCCTGCTTTTGTCCTTGTCCTTCACCAAAATCTATTTGCAACAAATCAGCCTGATGGTCCTTTAAAAACTAATCAGAGTATGTC